TATATATATATATATATCAAGAGAGTGTTTTCTGCAAAGTGCTTCCTTTGTTAGCCTTTTTATTTCAGTATTTGAATGGGGCAGATAATGTGATTAAAACACTGTTTCTGCATTTTTGGGCCCATTTTGAAGCAGAGGCCTCTTACTCTTTCCAGTTGTTTAAAAACCATAAAAACAAAAACTCAGTGTATAACATTCCAGCAAGGTTATTATTGCAAGACCTTAGCATACTCTGGGAGGATTTCATTAGCTTTTGTTTTTGTGACAAGGAAAGCATTGGCCATGCTTTATTCAACTTTTCTATTTTAAGGAACTAAAGTTTAACCAGTAACCATCCTTGTCGATTAAAATCCTAATTCAGTAGTCACTGGCATCTCTGGATTGCCATCCCTGGCAACATCCCTGGATTGCCATCCCTGTTTAAACAAAAGCAAAAACCCAAACATGACTGAGGAAGAGGAGGAGGAGGTCAGAGTGTTTCATAGCCCTGAGCGTGAAGTGAACACCAGAACAGCTTTCTGGATAGCAGAGAACATGTTGACGGGGGCCTTTAGCATATCTGGCCCTTTTTCCAGCTGCCTTCTCCTTCCAAATACCTGGGGTTTTTGTTGTTGTTTTTATTTATCCATATAGCTGATGCAGCAGTACAGTTTGCATTTTACTTGGACAAAGCAGTAACCCTCCAGTCCAAATAGTAATTAATTTAAAGGAAGAAAAGATAATATTTTTCTTGCCCATTTTTTTTCTACAAGTGTCAAATGTTTCTATGGCTTTTGATGATTATCTTTGGTAAATCACTTCAGAAAAGTATTAAAATCTCCCAGAAGGAGGCATTTTGCAATGCTGCTGGCCTTCCAATGGAGTAACTATGATGCAAAAGTAGGTCTGTGGGTGGATTAGAATTAAGGGAGGTGGTTACTGCAAACTAAGTAACATTCTTGACCTCAATTCTACGCCATCAGTCCGCACAATGCCATTGTCAAACTGCTCAAACTATCTGCTTATGAATTCTGCATGATCCTCATGATAGAGTTGAAAGCCTGATCTTTTACCTGTTAAATATTTTCACATATGTCCTTAAGTTTGACAAATGTTATACTGTAAAGGTGACCTAAGTACAGTTTGATGTCAATTCTTGTGGAAAGAGCTTTCTGCATGTAACGTTAGACGCATACAGTTAAACAACACAGCATAGTACAAAACTCACGAGAAAATGTTTTGGCACCAGCAGAAAGAAATCTCACCCTAACCATTTGTCATTTTAAACCATCATATTGTAAGTTTTACCAGCTACTTCTAAATTTGTACTTTATTTAAAGAAATAAAAATCCTAAGACTTGTCTAGCGTAGTGAAATATGTGTATATCAGTTTTAGGATAAATAGCTAAGTCTTAATTACGCTGTGTTACTTAACTTGTATATATAGAGTATACATAAGAGTTTGCAGTAACCTGTTTCTCCAGGATTTCCAGTTTGAATGGATTTAAACTCAAAACTATGAGATTAAGTAAATGATTTAGAAGATTGCAGAAATAAACTGAGTGTAAATTACAGGAAGCTCTATCAGATGGTGAAATAATTTTTAAAGAGTCTTTTGGTCCTTGGCTCAAATTCAATAAGTACTGTTTGTATACCAAGATATGTGAAATGTAAATGTTGTAGGTTATATTTCACTCTTGTAGCTATAAAAATGTAGAACAGAGATAGCTTGTACTACTGAGTTAACAAAAGTTATACTAAAGTATCCTGTTAAAGAAAAAGTATACAGAGAGTTAAGCTCATTGCTGTAACCCCTTCTGAAGTGTGCTGATTTTTTAAAATATATATTTTATATATATATATATACACACACGCAGTTATGTGTGTGTGTATATATATACACACACACATACATATATAAAATGGCCTAATGCAGACATCCATTGTATTGCAGTTATGAAATGAAGACGTTTTGGAAAGAACATTGTATCATAGTTCATGAATTTGCAGTGGATCTTTGTTCCTTTTTACTGTGGTATTTTAGAAATGAGTCTCAAGTATGAAATTAGATCTGCCAAGTTGGAGTTTTGCTGCTTCAGCTTTGCACTGGGTGTCTGAATAAACCAGTATGAATGTAGTATTTGCCCTGTGTGAAGCAGCTACACCCCAACAGCTAGGAGGAAAAAAACTAGAAAGAACTATTTCAAGTTTATCTTTTTGTATATGAAAATAAACAATAAATTACAAATAATCGCTTCTCTGGTTGGTGCGACGTTAACAATTGTTATTTTATTGTCTTTGGGATCTACCTGGAGTATTTGTTTTTTTACAGCAAGAGCATTTTAGTGTTTTAATGGCATTTCTGCTAGCCCCCGAAATCCCTGCAGAGGCCTGAGCCTCTGCTACCTATCAGCTGCAAGCACCGCTGAGGAAAAGCAGTAACTAGATCAAAGAGCTGCACCCTTTTAAGGGTGTTCCCTCTTGTAGTGCTTTGGGGACGGAGCATATCATTCCTGGAGAGGAATTGCTGGGACAGAGCGTTAGGGGCATGTTAAGCCCTATTAGTGCAAAGTCCAGCAGTGCAGCTTGAATTGGAGGTTTAACCTAAATTCCTGGTCTTTGCACCAAAGTATCTGCACTTGTTCTCTCCCCCCAGCTCGGGCGGGGGAGCAGAACGGAGGGCAAGGAAGGGTAATCGCCTACATGGCGTTATACTGATTTACAAAAACTTGCCTACTACCACCTTAACGTTTGCTGTAGGTGAAATTTATATAAATTTATATAAATCTATGCCAGCGTCGGAGCA